GGTCGGGATTGGTGGCGGGACCATGGGCGGAGGATATATTGTGGTAGTGGTGACACGGTAGTGGTGACTAGTGATGACGATTTGCGTGGTATGCATACCAGCCCTGAGGAAGTCCACGACAAAATAGTCGAAACATCGGCAACACAGCCTTCGGCGTGGCGTCACTCGGACAGCCAAGATCACGCACATTACTCTGGCCACGGAAGCCTACGACTTCAATAGTGATGACGATGGCGCCGGAAGTGCAGAGGTGAAAGCGAGGTGAGCTGCAGCAGGCACGACGGCGGTGGAGATGAAGCAGGCGGTAAAGGTGGTAGCGGCGAAGACGGCGGAGGGGGAGAAGTGGAAAAAAGAATAGAAAAATAAGTGGGCGCGTGTGCTTTTTGCGCTCGCGTTGCCAGTCTCCGATGTCGCGCCGTTCTGGGAGGCTGAAAGCCAAGAACGCTAGTAGCTGCTCCTAACGGCCTCTAGCGACGAGCGCCCTTGGTGGCGGGAGTAGAAACAGTCGATTGATGGTGTGCCTGTCGACGCGAGGTAGTCTTCTATGGTGGCAGAATCGGGTTCCTTCTGTCTCGTTAGGGATATCGTAAGAACTGCGACAATTTGCAGATGTTTAGTCCTGGAAACTGAACTTGAATCTGATGTTATCGTAAATAAAAAAAAACAAGAAAGAATGCTGCACCGTGTTTGAATGGTAAAGAAAACCCCTCTGATTTTGTTGATTAAAATTCTTCAAATACAAGAATTTTCAAAACTTCACATTTTGGATAATAATGTGATATTTAGATATATTCCAGTTATATGACCAAAGGAAAGAATAAATATTCGTTTGCTTTTTCAAAATTGTGAACGCCCAAACTTGAGAACATTGGGCAATACAAATGTTACTCACAATAATTAAATCTGTAATTCGTACCAAAAACAGAGCGAAAATTTTATTTATATACAAAGTCCCTTCCTCTTGCAATGGAGTATTTTTCCATTATATTGTGTCCACAAAGTTGGCACATTTTATTAAAATTCATGTGTTGAGGAAGAATGTGCTTGACATGGTAAATTATACAGCAAATATTGCAAACACCACATGTTAAAACATAGCACAACAAGAAAAAACCTGTCAGACTTAGACTGCAATGAAAATGGGACAAATCCGGATCAGGGGTTTAGTACATACAGAAATGGTTTTAGCTACAATCCACTCTAATCCTTGAAATGTATTTTCCTGTGACAGAGCTTGAAATATTAAAATTTCGAGAACAAAAACAAGGAAATATTTCTCTGCACTTCTTTACGAAATATTGTCAATTCAAAATAAGACTCATTTATATCTTTATCTTTACTTATACTCATTGCTTGATTTATAAAATTTTAGGTCCCGGAAAGAGCTGGCAATTATTAATTTAATAGAAATAGTCATACTTATAACTTGTGAACTTGTATGTGCTAAAAACCCGTAGTGTCAAATACATCTATTTCTCATAATGTACGAGTAATAGACATATAATGTGTATGAATCAATATATCACTTTCGTATATTCATTGCATTATTCACACATTACTGATTGATAATTGTGAATAAATATTAAATAATTTCATGATAACTTAAATACCTCATCTGTATTAATTTTGAGACCCGTAAATTGTGAAAATATGTAGTTAATCACACTGTGTATATTGTCGCAAGACTTATTGACATACACTTTTGTTCTTGAGTGACGAGTGATTTTAAACGCTAAAACATTAAGAACACACGAGCGGAAAAGATGTACAACAGTAGAGTGGCCCGGTGCGGCAGCCTCGGCAGCACGACGTGCGAGGCGTCAGCGGCGGCGGCGTGGACGGCGTGGGCGGCGTGGGCGAGCGAGTGCGGGGGCACTGGCAGCGCGCCCGCCCCAGGTCGCGGCGGCGGGGGGAGGGCGAAGACGCGTGCGGCCAGAGCGAAAGAGCGGAGGTTGAATGGGAGCGGAAGAGGCAGAGGAAGAGTGAAGGTTGAATGGACGAGGGAGAGGCAGAGAAAGAGCGGAGGTTGAATGGGAGCGGTGGGGGGGGGCGAATGGCGATAGCAAAAGTTGAGTGAGGGCGGAAGAAGTAGGGCAAAAGCGGAGGTGGAATGGGGGCGGGAGATGTAGAGGAAGAGTGCAGGTTCAATGTGAGCGAGAGAGGTAGGGGAAGAGCGGAAGTTGAATGGGAGGGGGAGAGGAGAGGAAGAGCGAAGATTGAATGGAAGCGGGGGAGGTATGGCGAGAGCAAACGTTGAGTGAGAGCGGGAGTAGTAGAGCAAAAGCGGAGGTTGAATGGGCCCGGGAGAGGTTGGGTGAGAGCGGAAGTTGAGTGGGTATGGGAGAGGCAGAGGTAAGCGGAAGTTGAATAAGAGCTGGAGAGGCAGGGCAAAAGCGGGGATTGAGTGGGGGTGCGAGAGGTAGAATGAAAGCTGCGTTTCAGTGCTTGCGGGCGAGGTAGGGCGCGAGCAGAGGTTGAGTGGCGGCAGGAGAGGTTGGACGAGAATGGAGGTTGAGTGAAGGCGAGAGGGAAACAACGAAAGTGGTGAAGAGGCGGGAGAGATAGTGCAAGTGCGAAGGCTGAGTGGTGGAGTGACAAGTAGAGCAAAAGTGGATGATGAGTAGGGACATGAGAGGAAGGTCGAGAGTGGAGGATGAGTGTGAGCGGGAGAGATAGAACGAGAGCGAGGGTTGAGTGGGGGCGCGAGAGGTAGGTTGAGATGGGAGGTTGAGCGGCGGCGGGAGAGGCAGGGCGTACGCGGAGATAGGGGAAGGTGCGGAGAAGAGAGTGGGGAGGAGGAGAGCTAGGTCGTTAAATGATCTGATTGGATGACAGAGTTGAGCAGGGAAAAGAGCAGTGGCGAAGAAGAAAGTGGAATGAAGAAGAGAGCGGAGGTGGGGCCTATAGAGGGTACGAAGGAGATAACAAAATTGCTGGATAAGTCGGTGCAATGCACAGGTGAAGCCGGAGGTTGGAGCCGGGCTAAGAGCGGAGGCGAGGCAGAAGGAGGGAGAGGGAGCAGATCGGAATGAGCGGACGAATGAGCTTTACGGAAACGTCGCTGGAACGTTGCTTAAATGTTGCATGACTGGAGCGTAGCCGGTGCGTAGAGAAAGCGTGCCGAAAGCGAGAAGAAGGGTGGAGTGATGCGGAGAAATGGAGAAAACGCAGTGTGAGCGTAGCCGAGCGACTGAAATGTGATGGGGCGTGAAAGGAGCGTGACGGGGCTTGGTGGGAGCGGGGTGGAATCCGCTTGGAAGCAAGTACAGAAGGGCGTGGCCAGAACGGGACGGGAGCATGGAGAATGTGTGGCGGAAGCGTGACAGGAGCGGGGTTGGAGCGTGGGGTTGGTGCGTGAAGAAAGCATGGCGGAAGCCCAGCGGACCGGGGGCAGGATGAGAGCCTAGCAGGAGATGGAGGAAGCATGGTGGGAGCAAGGTCAGAGCGTCGTATGAACCGGGCTGCACCGAGAGTGAATTTATTAATTGATAGCGCTTCCAGGCTCGTTAACCGCTAAGGTGGTTGGTACCGCAAGTCATGTTCATACTTTTCCCCCCAGAGGGGGCGGTGATCTTCCTCCCTAGATGGCGAGATCCTGCGCCGACCTACAGTCGTCTAGCGGAATTCTCCTCGACGAGGCATCTCCCACCGGCACGGTACCCCCCCCACCCGGAACAAGCTCTAAGCTCCTGTCTGGTCTCCCGGCAAGTGTGGTAGTGTAGTGAATACGTCTGTAACGGGTTGGGTAGGATACGGAATGGAAAGGAAACATCGCGCGCGGTTGTTGGCGTGGTACTGCTCCGGCATTCTCGTACAGAACTCGACCTATCTACGTAGTGTCAAAAATCCTGCCATCGATCGAAATTGAACGTAGGTCCTCCACTACAGAGACATGAGTTGATGTCCTCAGCCACATCTCCAGGTCGTACGGGTGGAGCATGACGGAAGCTTGACGGGAGCATGACAGGACCGTCTCAGGAGAGGGACGAGTGTGGGACGGGAGCATAGAGGAAGCGAGCTGGGAGCGGGGGCGGGAACCGTGTGTGGAGCGTTGGTGGAGCGTGGATGGAGCGTGGGTGGAGCGTAGGTGGAGCGTAGGTGGAGCGTGACGGGAGCGTGGCAGGAGCGTGGCGGGTTCAGCGCGGGAGAGGACGTGAGCGCCACGTTATGGGCCCCGTAGCTAATTAAGACCGGAATGCACGCGTGAAATACGACGAGCGGCAACGAGCGCCCCTTCCCTCCCCTCCCCTATCCCCTCACCTAACCCCTCCCCCCGGTTACGACACCACCCCCCGCGGCGTCGCCGCTGGCGAGTGCCCACGCCGGGGATCGAACCTGCCGCTAGGGAGCGGCTCCGATTCACGGCGCGGCCAGAGTCTTACCGCAGGAGGGCCCTGTTAAATTCTGAGTTTATATTTACAGGTACGAGTAGTTTCAGGGGCGAGTAAATTTATGTTGAGAAAATCGAAATCCGTGGTGATACCGTTGGGTCACCTGAAATAATTAATATGACTGTAAAAGTCGTTGGAAAAATATGAAATGCGGATGCATTTTGCGGATGCACAAGCGATTTAAAATTGTCCTTGTACCTAAAATAATGGAGAGATTACTAACAATCTTAATAAGAAGAAAAATAATATATCTCTCCTTGAAAAGTTTGCAACAAAAAAGTAGAAAGAAAAGTTAACATATTTACAGTAAAACAGGATTCCAATCTACATATAGTAACACCGATTCGTGAGAAATATTTAGCATGCTATTGACACAAGTAAGTTTTCTTTTCAATTACTGTTTTCGCTGTCAACTCTCCTGGAATCCACACGAGGCAAGTTTTGCAGTTGCCTGTCTTTCTCTTCTGCTATGCATATAGCATTCGTACTTTATTAAAATAAATTTACCTTCAATTCCATTGCAATTAATTCTGGGATCCTCCGATAAACCCAACCTCTAGATTCGTGATGTATTAGGTTCCTAAACAGCATTGTTATTAGACTGTTAAGCCAAAGACAAAACGAACTTATCTGATGAAGTAAAATACGCCGCAACCAACAAGGAAAGTGCTCCACGGGTTACCTGCAACAAAAGAAAACGTTTATTAAGAACTGATACATCATTGAAAACGATAACGAGTAGAAGAGAGAAAATACACTAAATCGACGGTCGCAGCTGAAGTATAAAACAAATTGAGGATGGATGTTTTCCAAGGACTGAAGGAAATAATTTTAATTAAGTGACGATGGCGAAGGGGAATATGATGGTGACGATGGTTCTACCATATGACTGCACAACTGATATGTTCGTACGAACTGTAGAGTATTCAGTTATTCTTCGTAAATACTGTGTTCTTTAGGAAAGAAAAGAAGAGAGTTGCCTGCGATTCTATGACGTAAATTCAGGAATGTATAGCATATAAACTTCATATGGTCATATTTGACAACCTTACCGACATTGTGTCATCTGCCTAAGTCCATTTTATAAAAATAATATTTTACCCATAACATCTTCACTGTTTCAACCCTTATATTGCATCAAACACATATATGCGAGTTTTAAAATTATAGCTTTCAAAGAAGTGGTGAAGAGGTCATTACGAATAATGTATATCAGAAATGATAAAGGTAAGGAAAATATAAGAAATATAAGGCTTACCGTAAAATTAATGAAATTTACCGTATCAATAAATTAGTTTTGTCATTAGGAAATAACTATGCTAACGGTATAGCGTTCGCATAAAAAAGAACAAATATTAAGCAGCTATACTACAGTACTTGCCAACAATTCACCAAGCGTGTGCCCTGCCTTACGATTCCTGCAAACTAAAGAGAATGCGATTGTTTTTGGGTGGTGGGGGACAGCCTGAGCTGAGAAGGCGAGAGGAGTAGCAGCAGCGATTCAGAAGCCGCATCCATGAGGCGCCAAGACGACGACGACCTGAAATTTCGGGGAACGAAAGAACTGAAAGAAGTTTTTGTTTCACCGTCAAGGTAGCGCGGGTAAAAAAGAACAATCACCAGGGCAAATCATTTACATAAACCTGAAACAAATGCAAACCGATAGCTTTTATGTAAAAGACAATGGTTCTCCCAAATCCGTTCACGTAAAGGAAACGAATATCTAGTCACATTGTGAGCCCGGCCTCCTATCACTAGATTCTAGCAAATGAAAGCGATAATCATGCCCCTCGTACATTAACTGTCGAAGAGAGCGGTAGCAATGATATATAGGCAACACTGTGTGGCCTGCCTTCCGACGAAGAAGTGCCTGCGTGAGGATATTATGAAATTACGTGAACCGGAAAGGACTCCTGAAGGGAGATTCAATCTCCTTCGTCAAGGTATAGTGTGAATGTAAAAGAAGAACGATCGCTAAGACACCAAGTTTACGTAAACATAGAACGAACGAAATAGTGATCACGCAAAACATAACAAACGCTAAGGAATATCGATAAAAACAAACAAACGGTAAGACAGATTTACCTGAAAAGAACCTTAGCTAACATAACGAGCATCAAGGGTAATGTTTACATAAACAGAACAAATATCTAGTGTTGCACGAGTTGTCTGTATCAGGAACTCCGAGGATTAGCGTTCGCGTAAAAAGAACAAACACCAACGATCGTTGTTCACATCCTCAGTTATCGTGTCAGCCATTCATCGAGCGTGTTTCCTGACCGCAAGATACCAGCGAATGCAAGAGGTTGCCATTTTCCGC